AGCGGCCCGCTGTCCCGCGCGCCTTACCGCGCCACGTGCGTCGCGCCTGCCTCGGAGGGGGTGTTGCACGGTGGGCGGCGGGTGCTTGCAAAAGGGGCATCTCTGTAGAGAAAGTAGGAAACGAGGCATTTGTCCCAGAGATGTTGTCGGGTAAAGTCAGTCTACCGGCAAATCGTCGGCGTCGGGCGCCTGCCCCGTGCGCCGCGGTGTCGGAGGCACCAGGGTGAGCAGAGACCAGTGTTTTCGTGTCCCCTCTGCCTCTGTGAGTCCCTCGGAGCTATGCCGCTTACCTGCGGGGGCGCAGCGTCCCAAAGCCTGGGCATCTAGCGAGGAGACCCCGCCCCCAAGGGGGGACCCTAGCTCCTGCCCACACACACCTGCTTTGGGCAACGAGAACACCTTCGTCTGGGGTGCTTGATTTGCATTGTCCTGACGAGGTATGTGAAGGACCAAGTTGTGGATTCTCGAGAGAAGTCATCCTTTACATGCTTCTCACTCAGAGTCTAAACAGAAACGGTCACGTCCGGTCTCCTGTCATTTTGTTGGGGGAAATCAGTAGCGACAAGCAGAGGAAAGGTAGTTCTGCTGAAGCAGGGCATGATAATCTCAGCAATCACGGCTTGTGGGAAACAGCATGTTTTTTACGTTTTAACATTTTTATTGAATTGCTGCCAAGTTCACATCTCCTAAAGAGAGGGAACGGACAGGAACCCAGGGCGTACAAATGCTGTCTCGTATATTCCTCACACTCTAAACTCTGAGAAGCACTTGGGTGTGGTAGAGCGTAAGGGTAGGACCCAGGCACAGCTGGGTCCTGTTTCCGCTGTGTGGCTCGTGGCAGGTGTCTGAACCTCTCTGGGCTTCTGCTCCCTGGTCTATAAAACGTAGATACTAATGATTTCTCTGAAGGGCTGTTACAAGGATTAGATGTGTTAAAATCTTTGGTACAAAGCCAGTGTTCTGCAAATGTGAGATCCCTCTGCCTTGAGGGGTGTAGCACCAGACATTTATTAAAAGGTTCCGATTATAACTATATATGGATTATAACTGCCTTTTTTTTTTTACATTTTTGTAGTTTTTAAATTGTAAAAAATAACATAAAATTTACCATCAATCACTTTTAAGTGTGCAGCTCGGTAGTATGAAGTATATTCACAGGTCTCCAGAACTTTTTTCATCTTGCGTACCTGAAACTCCATACCCATTAAACAACTCTACCCTCCCCAACTCCATAACTATACATTACGTATGATAGAATGTTTTCCTTTCTTGTACACGCAGAAGTCTTAGACAGGAAGAATATGCTTTAATTTATAAAAGAATAAAATAAGTCTTCACGTGATATTTGTGTGCTGTGAGGCCAAGCTCCTTCTTTACAACAGGTGATGTTTTTAAATGACCACAACTGCATTTGAAAGCTTTATGTTTACTCACCCCAAACCTCTTGTTGGTGCCTCTCACCTCATCCTCCTTAATGTATAACAATGGGGGTTCTCTTCTTTCTAGGACCTGCTCTCAAGAAACCATACAGCCCAAGAATTAAAGTCTCCAAAACCTCAGGTAAAGAAAAGAACATGGTTCTGTGTCACTTGAGGGGTGAGATGTTTCCAGGCGGAGGGCCCGGAGTTCCCTGACGCCCGCGAAAATACCAGCTCCTAGAACTTGGCACGAGGACCCATGGTCGTTCAGCCATGGCGGGAGGCAGTTCTGAGAACGAGGGCGGTCGGTAAACCCTAAACACCGCGGCTGCTGCCCCGAGGAGGCTGGCAAGCCTGACAGCAGGACAGACGGACAGCAGAAGCCCATTTGCATCATGACTGAGTTTAAACGTTACTTATTTCAGAGACGTGACATATACGTGCTTCCAGCTCCCAGTGGTACGAATATCTGTGATGGGCAGAGTTTATTATTATTATTATTATTATTATTATTTTAGTCTTTGGCTTTAGAAGGGAAAGACAAAAATACCATAGAGTTTCCTTTGGCCAGCTTCCTGGGATTATAATAAGCCTCCAGATGGAACAGCAACATGAAGGCAGGGTTTTAGTCTTGAAATGTACACGTCTTCCTTTGTAAATCTGTGAATTGCCGTGCTGCTGACGCACTCAACGTGCCAGGAAAGTTCTAGAGATTAGCCACGAGGAGAGGATGCACTCGGTCTCTGATGGGGAAGGTACAACTCTTTTGAGCACACACGTGCTTTGTGGAATGCGAGGAAACTTTCCTCTCGGGTGCTGCGTGGAGTAATGGCTTTCAGACATCTCTCCTCCTTTTTCAAACTGCAACTGCTTTCCTGGTAACAGGATTTGGATGATTCAAATAGAAATGAAGTGGTGTGAGTACAAGAAGCTCTCAAAGAACCGTCACGTAGTTACATTCATACCTAAAGAGAGCCAAATATATGGACCAGGACTTTTGTCTCCTATGGGTGCCTTTTCTTTTTTTTTCCTCATCTACAAAAGACCAGTACCTTGTATTTCTTTATATATCATAGGGTGCTAGACACACGTCACAGTGAGACCAGCCAGGTTCTTTCCTGGGCCTTTCTGAGTCATGCTAGGGACAGAAAGTGTTTTTTGCTTTTGTTTTTTTAAATAGTTAACCGAGAACATTAATTTGCTGAGACTTGAAAAGACTAACCGTATCCACGTGTGTGTACATGCGTGTGCACATAACATAGAGAGGCATTCAGAAACACGTTGTGTTTGGCATAAAAATTAGAAAGAAACTAACTCTCTAGTCTTGTGAGGGGAGAGCATTGATGTAGACGGTTGGGAATTATTTTGTCTGTACAATAAGAGGCAAGGCTGTTCATGTTGACCAGAGGCGAAAATGCGCAAGCAACAGGGGCCGGCCACACGCTGGGGTCTTCTCTGTGGACAGAACTTTGAGAGCATTTAAGTCTGCGTGCCCCTGAGGAGGGACTTCCATGGCCACCGCTGACCGTCCTTCCTAACCCCCAGTGACTCTGAACCCCTCGTGGTCACCGCGTTCAGTTGGGCTTGCTCATGGCCACTGTCACGCAGGGACTGTGGACGTCCGGCGCCGTGTCTCTGGGCCGTGGCACTCCAGTCCCAGGAGAGGGAGGGTTTGCATCCACATCTCTTCCCTTGGGTGGTCGGAGGAGACAGGAAACGATTTTCTGTTGCTGAATTTGGTGGAAGGAGGATCATGTCTGGATGGAGGGGACCCGAGTTCACAGATGCACCTCACACACTGACGTGTAACACTGGTGTGTCCCTTCACCCCCAGGCACCTTCCTCGCTTCGAAGTCGAGGATCAGTGACAGGCTAAACAAATAATGCCTGAGCCAGGAGAGTATACGCATGGGAGACACCCAGTAAATGTCTTGTCTCTCTTGCTCTCTCCTGTTTTTCCTGGTCTGGCAGTGGATGGAGATCCCCATTTTGTCGTGGATTTCCCCCTGAGCAAGCTCACCGTCTGCTTCAACATCGATGGGCAGCCGGGGGACATCCTAAGGCTCGTCTCCGATCACACGGACTCTGGTAGGTTCTGTGACCTCTGGGCAAGGGTAAGGTAGGTAGGACCACCCCTTCTGTTCTTGAGACAGACGTCCACGTAGATAAGGAGGCACATCACAGACATTCACTGAGGGTTGTTGGTGCTTCTTTAAAGGAGGTCGACTGTGTGTGGGGCTTGGAGTCAAGAAGACAAACGTTGGAAGCCTGCTCTGACTTTAGCCCTGGGTACACGTCTCCCTTGTAACCTGGAGACAGTGGTCCTTGCTCTGCCAGGCTCATCAGACCATTGCAAAGACCAGATTCAGTAATGGGTGTGAAGTGGTTTTGTAAATGCACAGATGCTATAGAGATTGAGGATCTATTATTGTTTTCATGTCTCTCCATTCCCAAACCGTAATGGTGGGAAGGCCGGAGTCCTAAAGCCATCTCTCTCGGTTCCTCCGCAGTGCCGCTGTTCAGCCCCCAGCTCTGTGTGCCTTGAACACGGAGGTAAACAGGGCTCTGACCCCCTTGGGTCTGTAGAGGGGCTGGGGGAACGAGGTCAGTACACGTATAGCTCTGGAACCACACGCAGGGATGGCCACGGGGCAGTTCTCGGTTCGGAGAGGGTGTGTTTCTTGAAGGCCAGGTGACACGTGTGATGTAATTATGTAATGTGTGATCCCGGGGCTCCTTTCCCACCTTGTTCTCTTGCGAGGCTTCCTGGCCTTTGAGCTAAATCTCAGTTTGTCCTAACTCAGGCTCAGCAGGGAGTGGGGGCCTGACTGTACCCCTCCCTGGAGGCGCCCACCTTCCTAGGGGCCGTTCCTGGCGTTTCTGTGATCAGCATGGCGTGCCTGATGGGAAACAGCCGGAGATGCCTGGAGCCTTGAGGCGGCCGTACCTGGTCTCTGCTCAGGCTGGGATTTCTCCTTCCGCCCTTCCCCTTGCCCCAGGGAGGGCAAGCCTACATCTTGCTTCCCCTCCTCCAACGTGTTGATAACCTGGGGATGGCTTCTTTCACGCCGTCCCGCACGCGTGCCTTCACTCATTCCGTGGGACTGAGGGGCCCCTTCCCGCGGGCCAGATACAGCGCTGGGGCCCGAGGAGGAAGGAAACTGTATTAGAAGCCTTGAGCGTGACGGTGGGATGGTGCGCTAACCACTGCCCTTCCCCTCGGCCTTCCAGGCGTGACGGTGAACGGGGAGCTGATTGGGGCCCCGGCGCCCCCAAGCGGCCACAAGAAGCAGCGCACCTACTTCCGCACCATCACCATCCTCGTCAATAAGCCCAAGAGATCTTATCTGGAGATCACACCCAACAGAGTCATCTGGGACGGTGGGGATAGGCTGGTCCTGCCCTGCAACCAGAGCACGGCGGTGGGGAGTCGGGGGCTGGAGGTGTCCGTGTCCGCTAATGCCAACGTCACCGTTACCGTCCGGAGCACCATTGCCTTCGTCATCCTCATTCACCTGTACAAAAAGCCGGCCCCCTACCAGCGCAACCACCTGGGTTTCTACATCTCCAACAGCGAGGGCCTCTCTGGCAACTGCCACGGACTGTTAGGTAGGCCGCTGCTCTTCACGCTGGTTCCGAGCCCAGGATTCAGTTTCCCGAAGTGAGGCTGATGTTGCCAATACGGTCAGCTTGACTGAGAAACGCAGTCACGAGATCGCATGCCTTGCCCCCTGGCGACTCCCGGGAGTGGGAACGGGCTGCACACAGTGATTCTCACTGGCCTTCTGGGAAAGTGAGCAAAGACTTTGGGAGGCATCTTCCCAACGTCTGGCTCCTGACTCTGGGCAAGAAGATGCTGGTAAAGGGCAGGGCACAGCCCCCAGGCCCTGGGCATGGGTCCCCCACCCTGCCCTGGGCGGCAGGCAGTCCTCTCTGGCTGCTTTCGACAAGTAAAGGGTGAGCTGCCGCCAGGGCCCAGTTTAGAAAGCAGGATTTCCTGGCACTTGAGCTGGACGTGTTTCTGTCCTGCTTGACTGCCAAGCATGAGCCGCCTTGCCCAGACGCAGCCTGGGATTCCTGCGGCCTTAGCAGTGCCCTCACTTGACCTGCAGAATTCTGGTGATGCGGATCAGGAACGGGCCGAACCGACCGCTTTCCACCCCCTCAGCCGTACCCACCGGATGCATGGTCTGGGAGGGGAGCTGGGGCCTGGAGGAGAGGGAAGACCCCAGCCTCTTCCCTAGTGGTCTGGCCCATCTTGCTCTCCTAGCTCACGAGGAGACGGTGGTTAACTGTCTGTATGAGTCTAGGTGGCTTTCCCGTGTTAGCAGCCGGGCGGCTTCCAGAAGAGGAGGCCACTGTGGACCCCACCTAGGACTCCCCGTCCGCACCCAGCAAACACACGTTTGTCCCTGACACGGGACAGGTGTGAGTCTTCTGGGAGAGTCCAGCCTAGGACTGCAGTCAGTTAACCCCCCGCTCTGAGAGCACCCGTCCCCCCCGCCTCTGGGTAACACCATGCACTGACTGGTCACCAGTGGCGGAAACTGACATGAGATCTTTCAACCCATGGTTGCCTGCACTTGACTTAGACCCGATGCTTTTTTGTGTCCTCCCAGGTCAGTTCCTGAACAAGGATGCCAGCCTCACAGAGGAGCCTACTCACCCTGCGTTCCCGAAGGCAGGCGAGCAGTCTGAGACCTTCCTAAAGGTGAAAGGACACCAGGTCCCGGTGGTCTGGAAACAGCGGAAAATCTACAATGGGGAAGAGCAGGTGGACTGCTGGTTTGCCAGGAACAGCGCAGCCAAACTGATCGACGGGGAGTACAAAGATTACCTGGCAACCCATCCTTTTGACTCAGAGACGTCGTTTGGCCTGGGACTCTCCAGGGGACTCTGACACCAGCAGCCTGAACGCACGAGAGCGTGACAGGGAAGTGGTCTCTGGGGTCCCCGCGGTGCGCTTCCTGTCGCTCACGCATGCCTGGTGTCTTGGCAGTTAGCTGCCTCCAGTGACCTTCCCTCGGTGGCATGTAGGCCCAGGGTCTGCTTGAGTGAAGGGTAGAGTCAGGACTCGGAAGCAGAAATGTTATTTCCTTCTACTTCCTGCTCCTGCCTCCCCCCTCCCTCTGTCCGGTAGAGAAAGATGGTGGCCCCAAGAGGGAAAGCAAGACATCTGCGTCTCGTTCCAACTGGCTTGTCTGTCTCCTAGCCTGTCATAAGGTAACTGATGAAGAAACATTGCCACAAAGCTCCCTTTCTCTGGAAATGACCAAGTTTGGGCACTCTGCTTTCCGCCTTATTCTAATGCTTAGCAATCTCTCCTCTTAGAACTACCGTCTTCTCCAGATGTGTGGCCAACCTCTGCCTCAGGGGGACCTCTCCTTGGGCCCCGGCCATGGGTCAGGCAAATAGCTCATAGATTTGATCATTGTAAACAATTAAGTCTTTTCTTGGGAGAGGATTTTCTTCCACTGTGATATCTTGCCCTTGAAAGTGAGTTTGCATTAAAAAAAAAAATTGGTTGAAAATAGAAAATCCTCATCCCAGCTACCGATGTCTAATGGGCTTTGTAAACCACTTGACTGTGCTGATGGGTATTCTCCTATTTATTCCAGTAAAGCTAATAAACAGGAGTACCCCACGTGGCTGTTTTTTACTCGCCTCTCTTGGTTGGAGAGCTGACCCACCTTTGACTTGGCACTCTCCTCTCCTTGTCATAATTGCGGCCTTACTTGCTGGCGGTCCTCGGGGAGGTGACAGATTAGGCCCTCGCAGCCCTGGAATGGGACGTAGAGCCAGCACAGAGCGCATCATCAGCCTCCTCCAGGAATCGGCTTGCACGTTCTCAGCGGAAGGTGCGGACGTGCTTACACAGCTGAGAAGCCTGTCCACATCTCAGAGAGGCAAAGCCAGCGAATTGGGCGCGAGGGGGGGTACTTTGGTTCCAGAACTTGGACAAGCAATCTGCTGCCACGAGGCAAAGGTTAAAATCAGTGGCCAGGGCTGCAGAGGTCAGGGAGCACCACTCTTCTCCTAGTGGACCCCCCGTGCGAAGCCCGTCACCCTACCCGGGGGAAGCCAGGCGGGGGGAGGCATCCTCCTTCCCTGCCCTCCTCGCTAGTTCTTGCTTTTGCCTTGTTTGGTCTTCTCGAAGCCATGGAGGTTCAGCAGAGCCTGGTCCTCACTGGGTGAGGAGCGCAGTCGGGACGCACATGGACGCAGGCCCCCCTCGAGCCACAAGGCAGAGAAAGATCGGGGACAGAGAAATGGAATATTTTAACGTGAGGCTGAATTAAATAAAAGCTTTTGTGCTGGCCTCACAGGAGGTTTCTTCCAGTCGGGAGTGACTCCAGAGCATGCTTTCATGAGATGTGGAAGCATACTTAGAACTTGGAGAGAAATCAGAGCTAAGAATATTGTTTATCATATTTGCCCTCCCATGGGGAACATTCGAGCAACAAAATGACATCCACATGTTCCTGTCGGACCAGGCGGCTTCGGGAGGTTGTGAGTGGGCGGAGGGGCGGGGAGGCATTTTCAGTTCCCAGAGACTCGGCCTCTCCCCACTTTGCGCCCCCACCGGGCTATGCCCGGCCAGCTCTCGGTTTTCGGACTCCCATCTTCCCAGACTCGACTGCCTGTTTTCATACCAGCGGTGCCAAGACACCAGCCCAGACGGCCGGCAGAAACGGCCACATGTCAGAGCTCAGTGGAAGCGGAGGAGTGTGCACCAGGGGACCCCCCTGTTACATAACTTCAGCCCCAGATGTCCCTCGAGCCTAGGGGCCCAGCCCGCCCGTCAGCATCGGACGTGACCCACAGTCCAGGGTAGGCCTCAGGGCTCCTGGGAGAGCGGCACCCGGCTGGCTCAGTCGGTAGAAGAGCGATGCTTGATCTCGGGGTTGTGAGTTCAAGCCCCACGTTGGGCATGGAGTTTGCTCAAAAAGAAAGACTTCAGGGAGGGCTGTTACTGCACATTACCAGTTACTGCTGCTTTCTAAGAGCAGAGAGGAATATTCCAGCAAGTTACCCCCACACCCTCCTCCTCTGGAAAAAAAAATGTTTTTTGAGTATCAAGGTTGAGCTTTTATTTTAATGTTTTTACTTTAGACAAATCCCACTTTTCTTTTTCCTCCTCTTCGTTGTCTCTTTTTTTTGAAAAACTTATTTACCATTAAATGATCTATATTAGCCTGAGGCTGTGATATCTCCAAAAAACTCTGCAGCCATGTTATACTTAGGACCTTGTAATTCAATTGGAAAACATAGTATTTTCTGTTGGTCATGTGTGTTGTGGGTAGCAAGCTTTTTTAAAAGTAAATACAGGGGCGCCTGGGTAGCTCAGTCAGTTGAGCGGCTGACTCTTAATTTCAGCTCAGGTCGTGATCTCAGGGTCATAGGATCGAGCCCCATGTCGGGCTCCATGCTGGGCATGGAAACTGCTTGGGTTTTCTCGCTCTCCCTCTACCCCTTCCCCAACTTGTGCACACATTCCCTCTCTCTCTCTCTTTCTCTCTCTCTAAAAAAATAAAATTAAAAAATAAATTAAAAACTGCTTAAAAGTAACAGAGGAAAGGAGGAATTCCCTTCTCTGGTGGGGAAACTGAGGCAGGGTCCAGTTGAGTGATTTTTCCCACGTTATGTGAAAGATGGTAGAACAGGGCCAGGCTGAACCCCCAGAATTCATTCTGTTAGCTTGGCTGTGATTTCACCTTGTGGGCCATCATTTCTCTCCCTTGAGCACCTATAAATGGGGGGCAGGGTGCTAAGTGAGCAGTTAAAGGAGACTGACCACTGTGTTGCAGTCAGAGGAGATGAATCTCATGTTCTCACCACAACCGAAAAGTTGACTGACCGGGGTCTTAGCAGGTCCCCTCCTGGGTCCCTATGCCCTCCCTCATCTGAAAAAGAGAAACATCTGAATGGGGGTCCTCTCTAAGGGTTTCCTAATTTAAAGCATCCCATTCCCCAAATAAAATGGCTGGGATATTCTCTACCCACTCATGCTGGGTGCTTTATCTTCTTCATTCTGACTTTTCAAGGATTTACCACTTCCAGCCAGAGGGAGTGGGACCTAGAGGATAAACCACAGGGTGATGCTCTGGTGCTGGGAGCTGGATAGAACCCCTCCTTGATTCTGTCAGACATGACATGAAGTCTTTCATGGAATCCTCATAGGGGGATGAGGGACAGGATTCATTTCTTTATGTGTATTTCTTGGCTAAACTGGACGGAACGAATGTTTGGGCCCTCCTAAAATTCATAGGCTGCAGCCTAAACCCCCAGTGTGATGGTATTTGGAGGCAGGGCCTTTGGAAGGGGATGAGGTCCTGAGGGTGGGGCCCCTGATAGGATTAGTGCCCTTCCAGGAGGAGACGCAGGAGAGAGGATCTTTCTGCTCTCCACCATGTGAGGATGCAAGAAGTCGGCCGTCTGTGAAGGAGGAAGAAGGCTCTCACCAGACACCGAATCTTCGGGCTCCCTGGTCCTGGACTTCCAGCCTCCAGAGCTGTGAGCAAGAAACGTGCGTTAAGTCATCTGATCTATGGTATTCTGGGAATAGCAGCCTGAGCTGACTAAGACACTGAGGCCAAAATATGCATTCTGTCCCCTTGGTTAAGCTCCCCAGAATGTATACAGTGCTGTTATTTAATCGGGAGGGCTCCTGGAACCCTGAGAACATGGTTCAGCTAAAATAAACAACAAATAAAGTTACGTAGCTAAGCAAAGACTTAGAAACATAACCTTAAATATTTATTTTAGTCAGTTTAAGAAGGAGGGTATGAGATAGTTCTCATTCAAGAGCCTATTTTTTTTTTTAAACAAAGAGATTGATGTCTAAAGACAAACAGCATATCGGTATGCTTCTGTTTTGAGGGAAAATGGAGTTAGGGCTGCAGAGAATAAAGCTGGATGATTCTAACTGTACTGCTCGCTTATAGCAATTTCTGAATGACATGAAGATATATGTAAATGGAGGAGTAAGTGACATCGGAAGTATAACGGTGAAACAACACAAGCTATAGAACTGCAGCAAACAGTCCTGACCGGATTTATGTGACTGTCAAACACAGAGAGAAGCGCCTTAAACCTCTCTGTCCCTTAACTTCTGGGGCTCCGACATCCCAGAACTTCTGCCACCTCATCGGGTCCCTCATTTGCACACCCCGACCCCCACCGTCCTGCTGCTGTTTCTTCCATTTGCCTCTGGGGCGTCTTCCCTCCTCAAGCAGTCTTTCTAGCCCGTGGTTGTGGCATTGTCCCTCAGGGGCTGAGGGGTCCTGCCGGGGCTCATGGAGATCCCCGCTGAGCTCCGTTAAATTCTGAATGGAGCACCCCCAGGGTCAGGGCCAGCGCAGGCACGGAATGGAACGTGAGCAAAGGCACCGGAAGGCCACATGAAAGAGAAAACCAGAGGACACCGAGAGCCGGGGCGTCAAGTCAGCCCCTCTGGGCTTTGGCTTCTTCATCTGTAACACGAAGGGGCTGCACTAAGACCCCAGGATCTTTATCAGCTGCCCGCAGATGAAGATACTTCCCAGACTTCCAAGTAACCAATGCAGAATGATTCACTTGATGAATCCAGTGGATTTTGAGATCCAGTGTTCCAGACCCAGGGATTCAGAGGAAAACAAAGCCCGTGCTTCCAGGGAGGTGACAGTTCCGAGCAGGAGGGAGAATGAACGCAAGGGTGGAAACAGCACCGGAAATGCTGTGCGTGGACTTGGCCATGGGCTGCGCCCCGCGCAGAGGAAGCTCAGCTGTGAAGGCAGGAAGGTGGTGGGGAAACCAGTCCAGAGATGGAGGGTGTTGCATCACAAGCAGGAAGAGCATGTGCAGAGGCAACCAGAGAAGCTCGTCTTCTATAATGTTAGGCGGCTGGGAGCATCTTCCGAATGGCAGGGGCCTTCTTACTCTACCCGCTTTGCGCCGGATTTGGGGGCTGCTTCCGTCCCTAGCCCAGGGACAGTCGCCGCTCCCCATGGCCCATCCCGTCCCCAGGGCTCCCACTGGCATTGAGCGAACTCAGGTCCCTCTTTTCTGCAACACGCCCTGCCCTCAGCAGCCCCTCTGTTCTGCTCCAGCTCTCTGGACCACCTCGCCCCACGGCCCCCCGTCACTGGCCTCCTGTGCGGGAGAATACCGTGGAAGGAGCTCCCTCCTTCACTCGCGCTCATATCGAAGTGGCTCTGTCATCTTCACACCCCTTCCTTCCAAGTATCACTGGCCACCTCCATTCTCACGGCCTCTGGGCAGGGGAGTTGGTGATTTTCTTTCTAAAATCTCCAGACTCTTGTTTCCCACCAGGTTATGGCCTCTTGTTTCCAAATATCACTCTGGAAGTCTCCTCTGGTCTGAAACTCTTGTCCCCAACCTGGTTCCCTCGAGCTTCCATCTTTCATGTCTGCGTCAGGCTTGCTATAGAGGTTGGTATTCAAAACCTCTTTTTTCTTTCTTTCTTTTTTTTTTTTTTCTTTTTACCTTTTAGGTGCTTAACTCATCAGATTTAGCTTCTGTCCTCACCACGTTAATGCAAGTGTATCTCAGACGGCACGCTCCCCGTCCTGACCCCCACTTCTAGCCATCAGGCTCTTCAGCCTCTTCTACCTGACTATGTCGGCCTCTTCTTCTCTTTGGAACC